ACTGTAATAAACTTCTAAGGTATGGAGAAAGAAAGACGAGAGCAAAAAAAACTGATCTGTGGAGAGTTCTTTTATAGAAAAATTTATAACACCCCATTTACGCGGAGATTGAAATGTTACATGTTTCCATCAAATCCAATGGAGTCCATTCTAAAATCTCAACAACTTATCCTGAAGAAAATTCATGACATTTCGAGGAAATTTTTTTTAATTCAAGTTCAGTGGAATGTAGCTGTATCTAACAATGCTTTTAGATTTATTCAGGAAATTTTTTCTTTATAAAATTATGAAATAACAATAACTGACGTTCATTTGTTATTTTTCTTCTCTGAATAAAAGTTTAACTAATTTCTTTTGTCACTTTTTTAATTTTCTAAAGTATATACTAAAATATGGTGCATTTGTAAATTTCCACATTGCACCACAGTAATCTTTTCAGAAATTTTGTGTTTCATTCATCACTATTTTATTTTTAATAAAATGTATACTCATTATGCTCATTTTCCAACAGTTGCAGATCTATGGTTACAACTCAGACTTGTTCAGTAACTTCTCCGAAGCATTGGCACTGTGCAGAAGTGACAGTATTGTAGCGATCGCTGTGCTCATACAGGTAACTTGAAATTTTTAATTTATTATCACACGAATTCAATTATCGTTTTGCTTCTAAATATTATTTTTATTATTCAAGTAGTTTACAATAGAACCAATTACCTTTTTTTTTAAATTTAGAAATGGTTTTGAATTATTTATTTTATCTTTATTTGAATATTTTTTTATCCCCCAATAGTAATTCAATATAAACAACGAAAATCATCTTGTTCATAGTATGCAAAAACAGCTTTAAATTAATTAAAAATATTATTTTTGCGTAGTACGCGAAGTTCTGTTTCCTTTAAAATGAAAATTCTACTATTGCATCATAATATTTCTTTTTCAAAAACAAGTATTTGCAATAGGGGAACAAATACTTGTGATAAATCTATTCAATATATGTTTTATATAGATATGTATTGGGTTTCTAAAAAGTCTTTTAGAAATATATTGCACTTCTTATCGTTGCAATAGATATCTAATGGGAAGTACTATTTGGTTTGTAAAATTATGTACTTTCACACGTAAGCACTTCCACTTAATTAGTCAGAACTCTGCAAATGACATTAAGTAACGAGATAATTCTCTATAAATCCATTCTCCTCCCAGTTGTTTCTTATGCAGGTCTGATCTGAGAATATGCAGCTTTACTTTCATGCAATACTTCACAAATATTCACAATTGAGTAGTAAGGACACTCATTAAAATAACTAGGTACATGTGAAACAGAGAGATTCTAAAAGGCATTAAAAAATTCGTACTTTCAAATCATATTAGTAACTTAGCAATTAAATTTTTCAATAGCCTTCCCGATACCAACAATGCTAATATGATCAATCTTGAAAGCTACGCATAGTTTCTAGAATTAAAATATCTAGGAAGGTCTTACACGAAGTTTATGCCCCACTTTAATTTTACAGTCCTAAATTCCATATTTTATAAAATTTTCAAGATGAAAATTTAATTTTAGAAATTACCTTTTACATCTCTTTAATTTATTTTAAAAATTTTCTATTCGCTGCAATATAATTCCTCTGTCATACCCCCTGGAAACTTACATTAACCAGTAATTTCTCTAAGCAAGCAAAAACAATCTTTAAGCAAAGAAGGGGAATAGCATTTTCTCAACAAGAATATATAAATGGATTACTTATTAAAAGCAAATCTCTTTTTTTACACCAAAAATGAGCATTGAAAATATTTTCTATTATGATATTGATATACTTTGATATTTATAAAAGCCCAATACCATTTCTTCTGACAGTGAAAAATTCCAATTTGTTTAACCCTTAGATGCCTTAGAGTTCGCCTATTGATTTTATCCGGCCAACTGTATATTTTAAAGTAATCGCATATAAATTTTCACTAGTAATATTTTCAATCAATTCATTTGAGGTTATATTTCATTTTTTTGTAAAAGCAAAATTTTCATACAAATTTTAAATTTTATTTATATGTGAAACGCAGTTAAGAGAATTTATACAGAAATTGAATTATACATAAAAACGATTGCTTAAAGAAATGGGACTGTCTTAAAAATATGTATAAAGTTAGTGAAATATATACATATTTGCTTTAATAACTTTAATAAAACTTTAAAAAATAAGAATATAAGAAATACACAGTTCATTCATCGCATTAGTGTTAAGGGATTTTCGAAATCTGCCATTTTTAGTTTTATCGCGTATTGCGTTTTATAACAAAAATAGTATTAATACAGGAATTTTTTTTCTTTCCTTTTTTTCCGGGAAGAAGAAGGAAGGGCCCATCTAAAATATTCATTTCATCACTGCCTTAAAGTACCATAATTTAAATGACAATATAATTATGAAAATTTGCTAGAAGGTAACGGACTACTTTTTTACTACAGCAGTTGATCAAAACTCAATGGATTGTCAAAAAGTATGTCACTCGGCAATGATTAATTATGATTATGAAGTTAAATATTTTTTTAATGTTGTGTGAGAGTTATTTTTAAAATTATTATTAGAATTTTTCAATCGGAAATCTTCATTAATTCTTAATTATTCTAAATCAAGCTTATAAGAAACACATTAATTTATATATTAAATAAACGAGCTGAGAGAATATATAAGCACTCCAAAGACTTTATTCTGCTATGTAAACCCAGCCTTCAGTCATTTTCACATTCGTTTCAACCTCAGAAACAAAATCTTACCATTTTTCAAAATAATAATAATAATAATTGAGAAACCAAAAACATTCCAGTAAATTTCTTATTAGGTTTAGTTGCGGTTTACGAAAAAAATAATTAAATTTTAAAATTATTTTATAAAGATAAATTATAAATACTGAAATAAAATTAAAAATACCTTTATTTTCACCGAATGAACAAAAGTTTTTTATATAAATGTTCAAAATCTGCTTGTAACATAAAACCTTAGATCCTTGAAATAATGGCTAATAAGCATTTAAACTATTACGTAAGGAAAATTAGAAAAAATCGGGCAATTAATATAATTTTAATGTAAAAAGTTATTTTAAAATGGGATTTTTTTTTTCATTTTACAACAAAACGAATAGGAACATAACTTCAGGGGTAATATAAAATGTAAAAAAAACTCAAATAACTTCTTTTATTTATTCAAAAATTCTAATCTTTCTTTTAATTTCACCTAATGTTTTTTTATATTTATACGCAACTTATATACTTCACGAAAAAACCTGAGTTTATTAAAAAAATTTTCTCTGTTTTGTTTTTAAAACATAATGTTTCGATGTATTCTAGCGCTGCTAGAGAATGTGAACAAAGTTATGAAAATTTAGAAAATAATGCGTTTTTAAATGCATCTGAAATCTGCAAAAAAGTCGGTGATCAGAGAAACGAAAGTGACCGCTGTAGCAACAGAATGTTCTTTTTCTAAGTAAGCTGCCATCAAACGGTGTCTAACCCTATAAATAGCCATTATCATCCATCATCGGCTTTCAAAAGAGTTCTTTAATCATGAACTAATTAGCAATTCGGATGCGAAAAATTCCAAAGTGGAGAAAATGGAAATAGCGAAGGATTAAACGCTTGTTTTGACTTTAGAAGTGTGTTTAGAAAGATTTCAGAATGAATAATCGTACAAATAAACATGTGTGTAATTGACTGATAAAAAGATCGGGAAAACTTTTTTTCACGCAAAACGTGCTAATTTATAATAAGCATTCGTCATTTTTGATAGAAGTACCTCTAATTAGTCACATTTTTTTTCGTATGAAAAGTTAATAAATAAACATTTCAAACTTTAAATATAAGATGAAAAGGAGAAACTTCACAACTCTGTTTCTGTTATCAAAGTTGTTTCTCAAATTAATTTCAATTCCACATCATATATTTTTCTGCAAAGTTTCATTAATATCAAGATTGTTGCTCTCTGTGAATGTAATTCCGTTTTAGAAACAAGAAACACGCTTGAAAAACTTTCCCTTATAATTTAGATTCTATATAAAGTTTTTTTAATTGTATCTTTGCATGTATATTTTAATCTTTGGGTGCTTATTAGATGAAGTCTCGAAATGTAATGATCAATAAAATTTACAAAACAAATCCCTGCTGTTACGGTTAAAATGATAGTTTATTTTATCCAACTTTTTTAATTTGCTCGCTAGTTTTTTTCTTTCTTGTGTTTGCTCCGTCATACAAATTAAACGGTTTTGAATGAATTAAAATTCATGAAATTAAAGAGTATTTAGTTATTATAAACATATTATAAACATTATTTATTTCGTATAAAATTATTCCTTACTGATTTTACCAAATTTGATTATTAAACCAAAACATTATTTAGATCCTAATATATCCCTTTATCATTTATATTCCATATCCATTTATTTTCCGTAATAAAATTCACCGTTCATAGAAAAAAACGAGGAAAAAAATCATGTGAAAAAATAGTTTATCCCATTTTAAACATTTAACTCTTTTTTTATTGTAAAATGGCCAATTTCATATGCTTTATTTTATAATAACAAAATAAATGATATAGCAACTTATCTTACCTTATTTGTGTTATGATCGTACATACATAAAAGTTTCCAATTCTAAAGAAATTTAAATAAAAGTAGAAGAAAAAAATATCTATAATCAAAACTCTCATGAGAACAAAACAGTTATTTTTAAATAATTGATTTCATATATTAATGCTAGTGTTCTGTATAAACAGATTTTCAAAAAATGCACAACATCATGTTTCACACATTTTCAAATTTTTAAAAAACTATAAAACCATCTTATGCAAATTAAATTTTATGATTTTCCTATATTCCAAAAGATTTTATCTGTTTTCAAGTAATAAATAAATATTGCTTGAGAATTTCTAAGATTTCTTCTAGTAGAGATACTGAAGTTATACAAAATGAATGCAAGTTATTTTCAGTTATCAAAATATTAGTATGCCACCCCAAATAGTATAGTGGTTATGACATTCGATCTGTAATCGAATTGGCTTGGGTTCGAATCCCGAATAAGGAATGGATGTATCTTCGGGAAAAGAAGTCGGACTTTCACCTGAAATGGATTCCCGTCTCGAATGGAAAATTGAGCACCCCTCCTGTTCTATGCCGGGATCATCGGTTGTAATAAAAAGTCTATATTCTTCTGTATTTGGATTGCATGTTTCTGTTCATCCATCTTTCGTATGTGTATCCCAGTATGAAAAGCACGACAACAGAAAAAGAATAGTATTTGTGATTCATTATTGGATTCTAAAGGCAAATAACGAGTGATTGTCATTTCTATTTTTAAATTCTATTATATTTGATACTGCTAAAGTGCGAAACCATATTAACAATACCTTGCTAAACTATCAAGTTATTCTGCAGATTACCTGTTTTGTACCATGAAAGTATGAAATCATCCTACATTTCACCAAGGTAATGTACACATAAAAATGCAAAAAGTGTGCAGAACTTCATGCTACAATCGGTATTTTAAAAGTACGAGGTGAGTACAAATGATGAACCCGATTTTAAAAAATTATATTATTGAAACTACTACATATAATACAATAAATGATACATAAATGTAAAAAGAAATGTACCAAGTTCTTTTCTGTTGCAAATGTTCGATGGTGTGACCCTCTTGTTACGTCGCATACGTCCAATCAGTAATCTGGTTCGTTCCATACATTTTGTAGTATCACTCTATCACAGGTTTGTATTGCTACAAACATGCTTACTTGTCGTCCTCTTTTATTTGTTGTGTCAACTGTAAATGATACGGCTTGAAATTTAATTTTCCATACTGTTTTCTGGGGCATTTCAGACTCACAGGCGGCAAATGTAGTATGAAATTTTCGAAAGTATGATTTTTTTTTTAAATAGGATTCATCATTTCTACTGACTCTGTATTATGTGCAAGATCTGAATTTAGTGTGTTTACAGATGAATTTCTAATTTGTAGCTCGTAATTAAATTGAAGTTCTGATTTAAGTATTTAATTAAGCATTCTAATACGTTGCAATTTTTTCGAACAAAGACCCTATTTTCAACTTAAAGTGAATACTGTAGGTAATGTATTTAGGTACTCTGCAGAATGATTGGGTAAAGTCAGAAAGAAAATGATTTTTCACACCTTAACGGACTGTAGCTTAGTTAATCTCATATGACCCAAGCAATCTGTATATTCATTATATGTATATATATCTTCCCTTTCTAAATTTCCTTGTTCTTTCGAAATTCATGCAAGTATCACATATATGAGTTTTAAAAAATAAACTACTTACGAAGATTTTTTTTATCAATTTATAGCTTTAATGTAAAATATTTCACTTGCACAATATAATTTCAATACATTTACGTAAAAAATTATATCATTTATATTATACATGAATTTTACATAAGATTAAACATTTACTCTTTCCTTTTTAAATCAAGTTTTATTCTATATAACCTCTAGAAAAAAATTGCTTTAATTTATTGATTTATTATGATTGTTTTGAAAATAACGTTGCAAAAAATGAAATAAGACACCAATTCGAAAAACAATGCCAAATGAATTTATTCTCTTACTTTTTTTATTGTAATTTCTTGATTAAAAATGAAAAAATTATTGAAATAATTTCAATAAATGAAGAGTGCTCAGTGTATTTCATGCTATAAAAATAATATTTGATTATTTATCTATGAAACTAATAGACGGTACAGCTTACATTGATAAATTGTTTTTCATTCTACCTAGAAGTTTTAGAGAAATTTTTATTTGGCAAATCGACTGAAATCATACTTTAGAACGCTTTTTAAAAGTAATGCCATATTCTTGATGCATTATGTAATTTAAATAGAATTGATAAATTCAATAAAAAGAGATGTTAACTAATTAAATCAATGAAATTGCTTCTTGTAATAAAATTTAATTTTAAATCACAGAATACCAAATGCGTCTATTTGTCAAATGAAATGACTCCTTTTCGAAATTACTGAAGAGAAATCCAAGATTGTGCGTGAGAACACATACATCGGGTATTTATTATACACTCAAGTGCCATTTGATTAGATATATGTAAATTCCATACTCTACCCATAGATCAGCACGGAAACTTAGCTAATGTTGCACTGGTATATAATTGTTAGCTTAGCCAACCCGTAAACAATGATCCTTAGAAGAGCAATGGGAAAAGCATATAATTTATAGACACATCTGACCGCAACATAAGTACTTACACTTCTGGAAACCAGAATATTCTAATTCCAGTGCGAAATGAATTCTCTTGTGTGTGAGCATTTTCAGTATCCAAAATATTCCATACAGGTAAAAGAGAACCATATATACATTACAGCATATAATAAACAACTACAATGACATAAAATTATGTAATTATAGTAGAACGTAGTAGTTACTTTTATCGCATATAAATGAGCATATCATTCCTTGTCTAGGAACCTCCCCCCCCCCCATTTGTTTTAGTTCTGTTTTCAGAAAATTTTCGAATTGAGGTAGTAATACTGTTTCGAAATAGTAAAACAGGATTGAAAGAAACGATGTAGTTTCTACTTGAATCTGTTGTTGTTTTATACCTTGTAGCGATGAAAGAATTTCAAATGAAGTAAAATAGTTTTGATTGTGAGATTAATTTAAAAGAAAAGAAGTTTAAAGGTATATTTACAATTAAAAGCTTATAGCTAATAGAATCATCAGGTTCTTTTCATAATGCAGTGCTTAGTAACCCTTTTAAAATATTCCCCGGAAGAAACTATCTTCAAAAATAATAAATATTAAAAAAAAAATTTCCATTTCGGTGGTTAAAAGTATAGCATATTGGCATACTTATTGCTTGGCTTTAAGATTCTATTTACGGCCAACGCATCATTTCAAGTTTTAAAAAAGATTGTGTGTGATTTATTGAATTGAATTCAGTTTTTTTTATCACTAATCTGTGTATTGTATAAAATCCATGCAAATGAATATACGTTATGTTGTTAGAAAAATTAATTCATTTTATTACTTTATTCAACCATGCATGTCCTCTAAAATTCGATATTTAAAATATACATCATGGCTAAAATATACATGAAACAAAATTTTATGGGTTGTTATCATTTCTGCAAGAATGCCGGATTGTGATGTTAGACTAATGTACAAATAATTGATTTAATAAGTTAATAAAATTCAATACAGGCAAATATTTAGTCGAATGAAAAGCATTTTTAATTAAACATAAAACAAATATTTTTTAAAGAAATCAAGACAAAAAATAAAAATCACAAAAAAACAGATACCGTTTTAAATAGTTGATAAACCAAGTACATGAAAAATTATGAGATTTTGAATAGGATTTCCTCTAGAATGCCTAAAGAATTGCTGCATTTTATCTTGTTCTCCATATTCTTTTATTAATGGATGAAGTTAGAAAAAAGATCAATGATGACTGATTAAAACGTTAGTCTAATCGTAGTTAAAATGTTCTCTTGAAATAGTACATTAATCTTGCAGATTTATTGGTATTCAGAATACATTACCTTGTTTTAAGCTTTTTTTATCAATACCGGAACATTCGAAATAAAGTTAATGCTTATGCTTCAAAAAAGGCGTAAAGGGCAGTTTTCAATTTTTCTTCTCTGATAAGTCATAAGTAAATTAGTTAAAATTTTATTCAATTTAAATACTTAAGTGAACTATTATTAATTTTTGCATGTTCTGTATTACATTTCCTGAATTATTTATCTCTATTTTCCTTCTTAACTTAATTGTCTTGTTTTAAGAAATTCAATGACAAAAAATTCAAAATGATTATGTTTTCAACGATACAGTTCTCACTTTATATGGCTTGAGAAAAGCCAAGCATGCGACATGAGACACTGACAAAAATAGGATTTAAAATAAAGAGAACAATTTTTTAATCTGAATCTTTTATATGTATAATTTAGCTATTTAAATATATTATTTTAAAAACAAAAATTGTAAAACGTAGCTCCACCAAGAAGGTAAAAATTGTATACCAGATTAATGAAATTCTTTGAAAAATACTAGATCATTATAATGTTATCGTTTAATTACCTAAAGTAATAAAAATTAATAAAGTAAGCGAAAAAATGATGCAAACACTTTCAAGAAGAAAAAATTATCCTCTGAATATAATTTAAAAATTCTCAGACGTCTGTCAACATTTTGTCTAAATTATTAAAACTGCCTTGAAGTGCACATTTCCTTCTGAGTTATTTTCGAAAAGGAAAACTTTACTTTAAAAAACAGATTTTCTTATATTACTGATTTAAAACTGTTAATGCGCCTCAGTAATGCATTTAGAAACACTTCTAAAAAAATGCAACATAAAAGACCAAGAAAACTGAGTAAATATTAATAATAGAAGTGTATTTTAAATACTAATGTAAATGTTAGTCGATAAATTTTAAAATATTTGGCATAAATTTGATTATGGTTCCATAATTTTATTAAAATTTTAGATTTACTTCGTACTCTACATGCAAAGGCATTCACATGGATATTATCAAAATGAAAAATAAATTATTACCAATAACTTTGGTATCCAGAATATATAAGGAATTTATATCTTTTTCATGATTAAGCAGTACAAAATTTTAAATATAGCAGTTTAAATCATTTTTATGTAATGTAAGTTTTCAAAATAATGTTGCATTAATTCAACCGTTTCAAAAAAAAATTACTGCAAAATTATATTAAATTATTGTATCTGAAGGGTCCTAAAATCAATAAATAGAGACGTATCTCTAGAATGCACTAATTTTATCCCTCAATAAAGAAGCAGTATAAAAACATATAAGTTAATTCAAAAACTTTATAGATATGTAACAGCATTAGTGTGTGTAAGACTCTAAATAAAAATATGTGCATAGAAACATTTTAACATCTATATAAATATGTATAGAAATATCTTAAATTTAGTTCATTTTTTAACTTATTTCATGTATTGAATTCTGTATACCTAAAGCCCCATAACGGTATTCCTTCTGAAATTCTCTCATTAACACGTATTCTTTTATATATATATATA